AAGCAAACTATAGATCAATGTCTTCAATGTACATAGATGTAAAATCCTCAGTAAGATATTGGCAAGTGGAATGTAGAAAATTATCAGAAAGATTATACACCTTAAGCAAGTAGGATTTATTCCAGGGATGCAGGGATGTTTCAATATATGCAAATCAATAAGTGTAATGTGTCACATAAACAGAAGCAAGTATAAAAACCACATGACAATCTCAAGGCACAGAAAAAGCATTTGACAAAATCCAACATACATCCATGATTAAAATGAGCCATAGAGAAAATTAGAAAAAAAGTCTTTATCTCAAGCTGATAAAAAGCCATCTGTGACAAACCAATGGCCAACATTATACTAAATGGATGAAAGCTGAAAGCTTTCACTCTAAAATCAGGAATAAGACAAGGATCCCCTCTATCACTTCTGTTTAATAGAGTTCTCAAAATATTTTCAGGAGCAATTAGATAATGGAAAAAAATAGAATGAATATGGAAAATAAGAAGTTAACTTATTATTTGCTGATCACATGAACTTCTACATTGAAGACCTCAAAATCTCCATCAAAAGACTCCTAGAATTAATAACCAAATTTGATGACATAGCAGGATACAAAGTCAACACTACAAAACTGAAAAGCAGGCCTGTACACCAAAAAAACTCACCAAGAGAGTAATTAGAGAAACAACACCTTTCACAATAGCATAAAGAAATAATGAACTACTTAGGAACGAACTAATCAAGGAAACGAAAGACCTCTACAATGAAAGTATATATTTTGAAAATGGAGACTGAAGAGAGTATAAGTAAATGGAAATATATCCTCTGTTCCTGGATAGGCAGAACCAATAGCAAAAATGGCTACACTTTCAAAATTGTTATAATAGATTTAATGCATTCCCAATCAAAATACCAGTAGCAGTCCTTACAAACCTAGAGAATATAATCCCAAAATTCATATGGAACCAGAAGAGACCCAGAATACCAAAAGCAATTGTGGACAAGGGTATGACAGAGGGAAACCCCAAACTTCATGTTATTCTACAAAGCTACAGTGGTAAAAATAGCATGGGGTTGGCAAAAAAAGACTTGCAGATCAGTAGAACAGAATACAAGATGCAGAAACAACTCCAGACATATGCAAACAACTTTGCTGGAGGAAACAAACACTCTTTACTGGTTTTGGGGAAATTGGCTTTCCAAATGCCAAACATTGAACCTAGGCCCATATCTCTCACCATGTACTAAACTAAAATTGAACTCATTAAAATAGAAAGATTTGATCTACTGGAGGGTAAACAGGTCAAACTCTTGAAGACACAGGTGTAGGCAAAGACTTTATGAAGAAAAACCTATTGCACAGGAAACCATACAACAAATTATAAACAAATGGCATCACATCAAATTATAAAGTTTCCACACAGCAAAGGAAACCACTAACAAAGTGAAGAGATAATAGATTGGGAAAAGTTTTTTGCCAGCTTCTCCTCAGACAGAGGACTAATATCTAAAATATGTAAGGAACCTGAAACAATCAGACCCCCCTCAAATTTAAAGAGCCCACCCAAAAACATGGGCATCTGAAATGAATTGACACTTACAGAGAAAGAAGTTAAAAACACCCAATAAATGCATGAAAAAACACTGGTCATTTGAGAAATGCAAATTTAAACAACACTGAGATTCCATTTCATGCCAGAAAGAATGACTTTCATCAAGAAATCAACCAATAACAAATGCTAACAAGTCTGTAGGGATAAAAGAACATTTTTCTATTATTTGTAGGATTGTAAATTGGTACAATCACTACAGAAAGCTGTATGGACATTCCTTAAAAACTTAAAGCTAGAGGTTCCATTTGACCTAGGTATTCCCCTACTAGGTATCCTCCAAAAAGAGTTAAAGTTATACCACAGTGATACATGCAAACCCATGGTTATAGCAGCACAATGTCTAATAGCCAAATCTTAGAAACAGTCTATATGCCCATCAAAGGATGAATGGATAAAGAAAATGTGGTATTTATATACAATGGAATACTATTCTGCCATAAAAAGGATAAAATTGAGACACTTTAGGTAAATGGATGCACCTCAAGATTATAATCTTAAGTGAAATAAACCAAGTACACAAGTTTAAATACTGCATTGTTTCTCTTGTGTGAGAAACCCAAAGTATAAATAAGGAACAAATGGAGGATAGATGTTAGGATATAGGAAGAACTTGTTCAAATGGGAAGAGAAACGAGAGATAGGGGAGGGGAGGGAAGGATGGGAAAATGATTTAAAGGAAAAACAAAGGAAAAAATGGAAATATAGATTTCATAATTGGGGAGGGGAAGAAGGGTTGGAGGGAAAGGTTCATTACATACTATAAAAATATATCTATAAAAATAAAATTTTTATATTTTAAAAAATATTATACTTTTCATATAATAAAATTATACCAAAGATTCCAATACACATATCTTAATAAGTAATAGAACAAACTGATATAAAATCAGTAAAGATCCATAACACATAAACAATTCCACCAATTTAGTCTAACTGCCATTTATAAAACACTCCAACAGCAGTTGAGTAGCATTCTACTCAAGTGCACTTATTCCATAAGACCACATGAGGGAACAGGATTCAACACATTTAAAAGAAAACAAATCATGTAAAGTATGTGCTCTGACAATGGTACTAAACTGGCAATTAATAACCGAAACATAGAAAGCAACAGCAAAAATATAAGTGGAATATTCCCAAGGGTTTGCAAACTAAGCAACACTCTTCTAAATAACTCAGAAGTCAAAGAAGAAAAAAGTGAAATCATTAAAGTAATTGAAATAAAATGACAACATTTTTAAATTAGTGGTGTTCTATATGTAGAAACACATAGTACTAAATGTCTATATTAGGAAAGAGTAATGTTTTCCAAAATATGACCTCAGCTTCTACTTTTAAAAAACCTAGAAAAAAAAAAAAACACTGAATCCAAGTAAAAGCAAAATCAAAGTAAAAATCCATAATACAGAAAACAATAGAAAAAATTGACCAAATCCAAATCTGGTTCTTTGAGAGAATCAATAAAACTGATTTCTGAACCAATCAGCAAACAGAGAGAAAACTTTCTGAACCAATCAGCAAACAGAGAGAAAATTTACTACTAAGCATTAAAGGAGGTGACTTCACTAAAGTCGGTACAGAAATTAAAAGAATTATAATTCTTTTATAGTAAAAGAATATTATCAACAACTTTATGCCAATAAACAATTTCAGTGAAACTAATAAATTTCTTGAAAAACACACACTAGCAAATTTCATTCAAGAAAAACTGTGCTGATGAATGACTATCAATCAAAGAAGTTGAATGTGAGGTTTCAAACTTTCCCAAAAGAAACCTCCCAGTTAAATGTGTGAGCACAAGCGGTTAACTAAAACAGGAAAATATCTGAGAGTTCAGCTGCATCAAGTATATATAGTATGATCTCATTTTAATAAAACTATTTGTATCTCTGTATCTATCGTTCACTTGAACTGTCTATCCATTTGAACTATAGAGAATGTTCAATGAATAATAGAGACTAACTCTGAGTAGGTATTAGAGCCAACTTTCAGCTTTCTTGTTTTTTGCTTTGTAAGACATTGGTGTGGATCATTTTTATAAAGTATTCCATTATAATAACAAAATCACTACTTTAGAAAATGATAAAGATTGAAGAACCAAGTTAGTGTAAGTCATAAAGATGGATGGATAAGAGTATTTCAAATACTAACATAGTGGCATATGCTATAATCCCAGCATTCTGGAAGGCTGAAACAAGAGATACAGGTAACTTAGTAACTTAGAGATAGTAACTTAGTAACTTAGTAAACAAGAGATACAGGTAACTTAGTAAGATCTTGTCTCAAAATAAACAAATAAAAGGGCTGGGAATGTAGCTCAGTGCAAAAGTCTTGAGTTCATTCCACGCTACCACAAAAGGGGGCATTTCAAGAAGAAATATATGATCAACAATGATATCTTCAGCAGAAAGTTCTAAAAGCAAGACAGCTAAGAACAAGCCAGTTGGTTTAGTAACTGGGAGGGCAGTGCAGTTCCATAAGACAGGTTTTCTAGAGTGGAGATGGAAAGACCGCAAAACAGGTTATTGGTGGTGAGTAGTGAGGCAGTAGAGAAAAATGGTTTAAACCACTGTTTTGAGAAATTGGGCCCTGAAAGGGGGGTATCTATACCATCATGTAACTATGAAAGGAACTGGAAAATTATTACATTTTTACTCTGAAATCAAAAATAAATTAGATATGGAAGAGAAACCATCTAATCAACTCATATAATTGCTATAAAATACCGATGGAGAGAGTAACATGAGGCCAACATCCACAAAAGAAATACGTTTCCATTCTCACATAGGGGACTGGAGATTATATAAGACAAGAAGCAATTCTAGCTTCAAAAGAAAAGCAGGTGAGATTACAATCGTCCTGAAAGAGAATGATGTGTTTCTTCTCTTCAAAATAAAGTTACTACAAAAGGCCAAAACAAAGACATCTTAAAAGCAGTCTATTAAATATAAAAGCTAACATGATCAAATTAGCCATACTGTATCATTAAGATTATATATTCTTTACAAAAGTACTTTGTATATGTTACTCAAAAATCTTAAATTGGCTTTCCAAAATCTATCCGTAGAATTTCAAATTGTGCTTTAAATAAGTTACTGAAGATGCACTGGAAACCACGTTCCTCGTCGCATCCTTAAGAATGATTATCTTCTGCCTTCACTTTTTAAAGATGGAAATCAGTAAGCTGATTTTAGAATAAGTGAAAAATTCTCTGGTGTATTATCTTAAAATTTATATCCTATAGATATTTTAAGTGTCTCTTAAATTGCCAATTTGTAATTAGACATCTTTTTGTAAAGCCCTAAAAGACCAGTTAAATTTATATTAAGTACCCATTAAAAATGCCCATTATATTATTATTCTATCTACTTCAGTAAAGGAAAATTTTTCCATTACCTTTTCTCCAGGAAAAATTTCAGTGTAACTAAACATTGCAGATGATTACAGAAGAAACAGAGCTGATCTGAAAAGGTGATTTCACTGGCTCCATATTTTATGCGTACTTCATTCTTCCACTGGAAACAGAATGAACAAAGCCAAATGAATTCTTTGAGTCTTCACTTTAGGTCCCAAATTGTTCACCAATAAGCATTTTATACAATCTGTGGAGCCCTATCATCTCCAAGTTACTATGTGTCCTCGGTGTATTTGTCTTTTTATTTTTTGTTTTTTGGGTTTTATTTTGTTGTGTTTTTTAAGATAGAGTCTTACTATGTCATCCAGGCTGGCCTTGAACTCACTGTTTGGCTAGGCTGGCCTCAAACTCATGGCAATTCTCCTGCCTCAGCCTCGTGAGTGCTGGGATTACAGATGTGCACCTGGGTTCATGTATTTGGTACACTTAGTTTTAGAAAGGACATGAGGCATTGTGTTGGTATCTGTACACCTCATCAAATCAATAAGGTCCATTGTACCAAATACTTCTATATCACTGTACTTTATACCAGTCGAACTGAAGCAGTGTCATTCTAACCATTCAGAAAATGTATGCTGTGCCACTTAATGACACTTAATTTTTACTTCATCTTCTGTTATTGTTTAATATTCACTATATAATAATTCTATATTATGTGACTTCCACAAATAAGGACACTATTAATTGAGGATTCTTCCTATAGCAAGTTTCAGAAAATAAAACTTGAGCTCAATAGAAGGAGGATTAACAGGCTCATGCAGTTAAAAAATCTAGAGTAAAATTCATTTCAGGCATGCATAGATCTAAAGCCCTAAACAATTCATTAGGACTCAGTTCCTATCTCTGCATTTCTCCTCCATTATCATTTTTTCTGTGGGTTTTATCCCAAGCAAGATCCCTCCAGAGGATAAAAATCTAACTTCCCACAGCTCTGTGTTTGTACTCTGGTGGTCTTAATTTTAGCAAAGACCTACGGAGTCACTGTTCAGATGGCTTTGGCTTGGGTCACATGTCCACCCTTAAACCAATCAATAACTTTGGTTAAAAGGATGCAATGTTATCCTTTGTCAGGATTGAGTTAACCCAATCCTGGAGAGATACCTAAACCACATAGATTAAAAGTGGATGGCATACAGTTGCCCAAGACACACAGAAATATCTTACTAAAATAGATGAAATATATACTGACATGCAAAACCAACAAATGTCTATTACACTCATGAAGTAACCCACTCATGAAGGATGTAAGTTTTGGATGCCTCTTCTTGTAGAATTATACAAATATCAATTCAGCCAAGTCTTTTTTTATGACCAAAAACACCTCAGTGGTAAACTGGAAAAATATAGTATTATGCAGACCTTGAGCTTGATTTTCAGGTAATTTCCTCATGGCCTTTAGATAAGTCCCTTATCTTCTCAAGTATCAAATATAAATGATACTACCAACTTCATACAGTTTAAGGATTAATACTTCACATTAGAAAAATACTTCATAAGCTACAAAACATTCAATAAACATTAGCATTAGCTGCAAGATGACTCACTGGGATCTAGTAACATCTAGGACTTGAAACTTAAGTTTTCTCTAAACAAGACTAATAGTCACCTCCACACACAGATCAAGGTACAGGCTTTACGAAAAAAAAAAAAAGCTCTGATATTATTTCATTTTGGGCAATCTGGATCTTCAGTGCTAAAATACATACAGTTTCCATCAGAAGCTACCATGTTTCCAACTGGTAAAACCTGTTAGAAAAAAACCAAATTCTTCACCATAAAATTCTGTTATATACTACTAATTGAGGAAGGTGGAAATAAAAAATAGAAATGTGCATCTACTCACAAAGCTATTTACTATAGCTCATAATAGATATAAAAATATCTAATATAACATGTTCACTGGAAGAAAGATAGCTTCTTTAATAAGCGGTGCTGGAAAAACTGGCTTTCCAGATGCTGGAAATTAAAGTAGAAGCATGTCTATCACCATGCACTAAACTAAAGACAAACTGAATTACAGATTAAAACATTAAAAAAGAAACACTAAATATACTGGAAGAGAAAGAAGGTTGAAATCTTCAAGACATACAAGTAGGTAGAGACCTCATGGACAAAAACTAACTGCATGAGAAATACTTCAAAGAATCAATACCTGGGATTTCATCTTATGAAAAAGTTTTTGCACATAAAAAGAAATCACTAACAGAGTGAAAAAGAAAACTCACAAATTGGGAAAAAAAATTTAGTCAACTGTTCTTCAGACAAAGGACTTCTATCCAGAACATATAAGGAATTGAAAAAACTCAGGACTCCAAAATTCAAAGACCCAGTCCAAAAATGGATATCTGAGACGCATACACACTTCTCAGATGAAGAAATACAAATGGCAAATAAATATATGAAAAAATGTTCAACAGCATTGGTTATTCAAGAAATTAAAACAACACTGAGATTCCATCTCACCCCAGAAAGAATATCTATCAACAGGAAATCAATGAATAACAAATACCAAAAAGGCTGGGGCAAAAAGGAACCCTTCTCCACTGTGGGTGGAAGTGTGAACTGGTACAACCACTGTGGAAATCAGTGTGGAGATTCCTCAAAAAGCTAGGATGAGGTCCCATTTAACCCAGCTATTCCCCTTCTGGGTATTTTTCCAGACAAACTGGAAACATCATAACACAGCAAAATATGTGCACCCATGTTTATAGCAGTACAAGTCATCATAGCTAAATCTTGGAAAAAACCCACATGCCCATCAATTGAGGATGGATTAAAAAAAAGATGTGATATTTTTATATAATGGAGTACTACTCAGCTATAAAGAAAGATAAACTAGAGGCTTTTATAGGTAAATGGGTACAACTTGAGACCATACTCATAAGTGAAATAAATCAGAACCATATTTGTCAACATTGAATTGTCTCACTAGTATAAAAAAATGAACAAGTAAATAAGATCCACAATGTCCAATTAATATTGTGAATTGGGTAAAAACTGTTCAAAAGAAAAGACAGACTGATAGGGAAAGGGGAAATGAAGAAAGGGCAAAAGGAAAAAATATACATATATATAAGATAGTTATTGTTATACAGCTAATTTCTCTTAGTTCATTCAAAAAGAAAGTCTTGCGTTAATATTGTACAACAAGATAACACACATATATCTTGTACTCTGAATAACTACTGGGAAGATGACAATACACAATGTATTAACTCTTTTTTTGGTTTGTTTGGGTTTTTTTTTTTTTTTTGTCTTTTTGAGAAAGGGTCTTGCTATGCAATTCAAACTGGCCTTGAGCTCAGGGACTACAGGGATTACAGATGTGTGCCACCATGCCCAGCTGGCACAAAGTATTAACTCTTCTAATTGTCCAAATAACTTATTTTGAAACTTGGTTTCATTGTTATGTTCATCTTTTTTTTAAAGGAAAGGACAAATGGGATGGAGGAAAGGAGAAAAGGAAGGGAAATATATATACAGACAGACATAGATAGACAGCTAAGATAATTGTACCACTAATTGCTAGTGATTTATTAAAAGGAACAGTTAATGTTTATTTGCTCAATCTTGCATTGTTATATCTGGTAATCTGAGCAACTTCATTGAAGATAACAATATGTAATACAACAACCATTGTTAATTTCCTATCATCTTATTTTAAAATTCTGTATTATTTTTTCTTTTGTGTTGTTTTGTTTTTGTGTTTGTTATTCAGTTTTTTTGTTTTATCTCTGTAAAATAAATTTTTAAAAAAATCTAATATAAGCCAAAAGCAATGAGAATAAACAAATTTTTTTTAAAAATTTCTTTTGCTAAGTCAACAAAAAAAGGTTTAGAAAAGATATCAGTTACCATATTGACTCATATCTTCCTTCTTCTCATCATTAAATCCCATTCTCTTATCATCTAGTTACAAGTTCAGGCCTACACATGACTTATAATCCTGAAGAATTTAAAGACTTAAGATCAGCAATCATGCATTGAATTGGCCTTGATACCGTCCCTTGTTGATTTTGTTTTCTGGTCCTAGTACATGGATTCTTGTTGTTTTCCTCAATAAAACACTACTCAATAAAACACTACTTTCCTCAATAAAACACTACCTGTTTTTTCACAGTTACAAGCTTTTCTTGTTCTGAGTTCATTTTTCTCCATAATTCCAACCCCAGAATCTTCTTCACTTCATTCATTCATTGTTTGGTAAATATGTATTGAGCGCCTATCGGGTTTTAGACATATTTCTAGGTATCATGGATATGGACATTGACCTCATGTTGCCACTACTGGCTTTTTCCAGACTGCTCTGGTCCCACACTTTATCTGCCTACCAAGATAAGAATCGCTTACCACTCTTCCTTCACAAGCAGCCAAGGAAACATGAATAATACCCAAGGACAGCACACTGTGTTGGCACCCTCCATATACCACAACAGAACCTGTCTAGAAATTACTAAGTGTATGTGTGTTCATGCAGTATTTAACATTCTCAGACAAAAATCACTGACAAAAATTATCAGACCCTTCTTAGTCTAAGGTACACCTTAAACAAAAATGAGTATCTGTAGTTGCTTCTATTCCCTTCCAAATGTTTCTGATATTCACTTATCACTCCCCTCTAGACCTCGGTCTCAACCCCACCATGAGGAATGCCTTTTTAAGGCTCAGGTTATGGCCTTCCCTTGATCGTTCATCTCAGCCACCAAGAATTTAATCTGTGCTCTTTACTATCAAACTGGTTAATAGACTAAACTCATGATGTTGTTACTGAATACCAATGTATGATACATAATGATAAGAAGCAAGCAACATTTTGCAGCTCAACAAAGGGCATTCACATGCATTATTTCAGGTGAAAAATCTGAAGTCCTTACAAAAAAAGTTAGCAAGTTGCAAGCAAATGGGGGACAAAACCCCATTAGGGCTTTTTTGTAAGCATACTCAACAAAAGCTGGTAATGGAAATGTCTACCCTATCTCTGAAGGTCACTAAGAACCTAACTGTGTGATACTCTGATAAATGATCGCTTCTGTTAATTACAAATATAATCATGCTACAGTCTGATTTACACTTTTCACGGCTTTCTGCTGTTCTTCTTAT